TTCGAGTTTTTTACAATGAGATGGCAAAAATTGTAAAATGCTAAATGGGATGAGCCATATCTCATTCGAAAGGGGAAGTTGCATGTACTCTAGCACTGTAAAAAGTTTTTAAATGTTTTTACGTTAATTTTTATCCACATAATTAGATGACAACGGTATAAATAATTAAAACTTCAAGAAATCTTGTTATTTATTGTTACGTGTAACAAAAAGTGCAGTTATTAGTATTTTTATTTTAAAAAGTGTAAGAAAAATAAATTACATTATAAAATGTAATTGTTACATAAAAGAATTAACACTGGAGATTCAAACTCTCGTTGACCGAATAAGAAAAAATATAATCAATCAATTATGCCGCTTTATTATGTCTGCGAAATTAGCATCGCCATTTTGTCAGAACAAAAAAACAATACAATTTTCTCATAATCAAATATCCATACATACAAGCTTTTACAGTGTTAGTACAAGCAACTTCAAATAAGCTACAACTCATCCCATTTAATATTTTACAATTCTTGCCAACTCTTCGTTAAATTAATTTATTGGCGATTATTCAAGTCGTTAACCCTTTATAAACATGGTTGGGTTGTGTCCTGCAAATTTTGTCGGTTTTTTTTTAACTACATAAAGATTTTTTTATATTGTTAAAATAATGAAAATTAATCTAAGACACAAAAGATCCATTATATGTAGTAAAGGACTGGATAATAATCGGGTGTATTAACAATAAGTTAAAATACCTGAAAACAGTGCGCAACAATGTTGCACGAGAATAGTCACGAAGGTATCGGTAGCAACTAGGGTAGTAAAACGAATTGCAGTAGTTAAGTAATTATGAATCAGTATAGGATAGTAGTATTTTTCGAGATCTACGTAGTATTCCACATAATATGGAAATCCCACTAGCCGCGAATATTCAGAAGTTACGTTTTTGCCGATTATTTTCGGAATTATCGCGAGAAACGGAAAAAGGCTGCCAAAAGCATACATACCACCTAAAATCAGACAATACTTTAAAAGAAGTTGCATATTTATGTATTTGGTAATACTGTTCAGTATATGGAAATATTTTTAAAAATAAATACGATTTAATTACTTTTTTCATTAAATAAATTATTTTGGAGTATATACTAATTTTTAATAAGTATCTTATTGTGTGGCTATCATACATCATGCAAACATAAAATTTTAATTGTTGTTAATGTAATTATTAACTAAAATTGTTTTTATGATCGAGGTTTTTAAAATATCGAGAGTTTTAATATATAATATAATATAATATAATAGTCGTTATTTCATTTCCTTACCGGCATAGGCGATAGTAATGATCCTTCCACTGTCTGCAAATTTATGCAAAATTTCGAATTCAATTTTGATAGTCCATGATCGCCAATCTCTTTGTGTATGTATAAGAAGTATTTTGATCTACAACTTAAAATTCCATTTTTTTTTACAAATGTAATCTCGTACTTAATGATGATACTATGATCTTCTACATACTTTCTCTATATTGCATGTTAAATTCACCAGCTTAGTGATGCACACGAAATCTATTATAAGCGGTAGTATACACTCGATAATTGCATCAAAATCGCCATGTCACTAAAGCGAGTACCTTGAATCTAATACTTTATTTAATGAAGAGATTGAAATAAAAAATTAGTTTCGCAAAATATAGACACATATAATCGATTCACCTATAATTTTATTGATAATTTCATACATTTTTAATTTTAAATTTCTAATATTTATATATTTTTACATATTTCTCATTTTTTAATCTTTGATATCATTATAAGAAGAAAAAAATTTTCTCAAAAACAGAAATGGATTGATAGATGATTAATTATAATTGCAATGTAGGAAATGTACCTGGGCGATGGCTTGCGTTACATCAATAAGCGATATTATTACAAAAATAATCCACCTGTGTCTGTTTTTTTGGAAGGGCCATTGTCCTAGCAACGAAAGTAGCATACGATTGATTCTATATAACCGGGACTGAAAGATATCATTCGACGTAGCCATCTTCAACACTCGGTTTGGACTACTGCATCATTGGTATAGCCTCTTACAATTTTCAGTCTAATAAAAAATTCTCTTAAAAAGAGAGAGCGTAATAGATATAGTGAGTTACGAGAAATTACCGATATTGACATGACTGATTGTTCCATTAGAATGATAAAAGACTTAGACGGTCAAACACTTATCTTAGAAAGATACATGTTTATGATTGATTTTATGTTGATGCATCTAATAGTCGTCTTACTTTGTAATAAGAACTCGGTCAAAATCGGAATATTGTAAATTTAACGTACATCATGAATAGTATCGTGTCTGCCACATATTTATTTGAATCATATTTTTGTTCATAGAAATCGGTAATGGAGAATGGCTTGGAAATATTTCTTGGCAGTTCTTTCAAGCCAGTTTGGTTTACAAATATGTAGCAAAAATGTTATTTTATACGCGCATAAAGGTATCCATTTATAATCATAATCTAAGAATAAATTATATCTTGATTATAACATGATTATTATTTAACAAAATAATTGATATAAATCATATATGGTAGAAAAAAAATGAACTGAAAATAGCAACATCAAGAACGAATGTATGTCAACACTGTCACAAATAACTTTTATAAGTCAGAAGTTTATATTTATCTAATGTACATGTAAGAATATATAATCGTACATTTTTTGAGTGAAAAATTAACTTTTAACAAAGAAATTAAGTCGAAGAATAGTTAACAGCATAAATGCATCATCATTTTTATGTATAATGTGCAATAACGCACATAAAATAAATGAAAAGCTTCGTAAATGATATATTTATATATGTATCACATATAACATTATCATCACTTTACGATATTTTATAAAGCTAATTATGAATCAGTTTTTATATCATAATTATTTGCATCTTGACGAGTTAGCGTCTAAGTAATAACATGTAGGAATTTCGTAGAATATAATAGCCATGTCGTCAGTACAAGCATAATGATCACAGAAGTTAGTAAAAGTGAAAACATATAAGACATGAATGCTGCATGACCTGAAACAATTTATTCACACACGAATGGCTATTGCATACAATTATATTATGCATTATCATTATTATGCATTAATAATTCGTAATGATATTAACAACATATTAATTTTATACGTTATGTTTTGCATGAAATACTTAACTCATTTATAATATAACTCATATATAACTAATTTATAATTTTAATTTTTTAAAAATAATTTTAGTAATTATTGCGAAAAAGTTAAACTTTGCCGATGGCTTTGACCTTGAGATATGTTGTTAACCTCCAACAGATTTTAGCCAGTGGTCGCCATTAACAAGTTATCAACAAAAGAAATTAAAAAAATAACGTATAATTTCTGCTATAACGAAAATTGTTAATCCATATAGAATCTCGCTTTATATAATGTTGTAAAGTATGAACCTGACTTTGCGTGGAAAGTCGTGCGCTCCTATGAAAGAGGGAATGAAAAACGAGATAGTGTTTTATATATTATATATATATTTAATATTATCAAATTTTAAAAAACTTCTGACAAATTCTTTTATTTCCATTTTTCTAATGTATACCTAACTGTATGTAGTATATCTAACTATATATGGTAAAATATGATCGTTTTTTTGTTTTGCGTAAGAAGAAAAAACCTTCAAAGTCCCTCTCCGGGAAGGCCCCCAGGCATCCTAACTGGGTCCTCAAGGAGAGAATATATTACTATATATACCCGAAGGGGAAGACGCCCGATGGCCCGTATCGCCGGGTGTGCAGGACTCGATCGAGTCGTGATCCGCTCAAGGCGCAGGATACACCGACCCGGTCGTCTACCTGCTAAAAATTTTCCCTGAAAAGCATTGCGTCCCTGACACATGCGAGAGGACACCCCAGAACCACCTATCATTATGTCAGAACGTGGTAAAAAATGATTTTTTGTTCATGTGTATATTATTCTCAAATTATATTAATAAAATAATAAATAGAATAATGATAAGTAAATAATGATAAATAAATTCCAGTAATTGAACGATAATATACGCAGCATGCTGAATCGCAATTGTTGAATGCGTATAATTAAACTTAATTACATATAAAAAAAAAATTAAAATTTCAAGGCAAATGAGAGTAAGGCGCAGTAATTGGTGCACAAATTCAATCATAAAGCAAAATTATGACAAATTCTTAGATGTATTAAAAAATTAGACACACAAATATATATTCAAATTGTGTTAAAATTTTTTAATTACATATAAATACTATCTAATGATTTTTTGTCATGTGTGTATTATTCTCAAGTTATATTAATAGAATAATAAATTGATAAAGTAAATATTAATAAAAAGAAATTTGTTTAAGTTTCTTTTTATTTAATATTTATTTTAATTAAAGTATATTAATCGGTAGCGATGTCATACGTCTGCGTCAAGCACAGGATGTTTTAATTTTATAAAACTTGTGTCACTTTGCTTTTAAATGAATCTTATGCGAGCAGTAATGGTTATCGTAAACTCTGTTTTATAAAACATAACGTATATGAAAATTTGAATAGTGATTTCATTTTATATTATTTTTAATAAAATAAAATTTTAATAGTAAATAGATATGATCTTTACAATGGAGTAAACACGACTTCTCTCTCTCTATCCGTTTTTCCACAAAAAATTCGTAAAATTAGGCCTTGTTCTGTCTAAGTGTATATGCCCTTTTAATTTTGTATGAAAAACATTATGAAAGGAAAGAAACACTAGTTTTACAAATGTACGTTCTTAAACATTCTCATTTTTGTCTTTTAATAGAGATAGAATTTAATGAATAATAATACGTAAATATCATTAATTACGTTTAAAACTGTTATTCCAGAGACCGTAATAACATAAAATATGATGATGACAAACGTAACACCTTAAACAAAATTAAAAATTTTGTTTTTATAGAATCATTGAACGTATACATGCTATAAAATTATTACACTTACCGCATTAAAAGTTACATATGACAATACAATAATTTTGCCCACTTTGAGTGCTGATGGTTTTTCACTTCTCATCATTATCATTATAAGAAGTTTTCTTGCCGTTACTGGCATATTGTACCACTTTGTATTATATCTGTAAATTTTGCAAGAAATCTATTAGAAATTATATTAGGTATTTATCTGCTTGCTATCTCATAACATTTTTTTATCAATTAATATGACACATTTATAATGTGTTACTTTATTATTGTACAAAACGTACGCTGATTTAAACACTTTCTCACTGGAATCTACAATTTTCTGACCCTGCCAATTTTCGAACAATACATTAAGCAAAAGTCCATTTAAATAAACATAATTATTTATACCCCCGCCAATATTTTCCATGTTGTTTATTATCTGTTAATCAAACGTACGTAAGTAAGTATAGTTAATTTAGTTAAATTAAAACATAAAAATACTCTCAAAGAGATGACTATGGAACTAAGTGCGGTAAAAAGTAAGCGCGTAAAAATAAAAACATCGTTAGACAACGTTAATTTAATTAAAAAATTTAATTATACATATATAAACTGTTTCGGCTATTCAACTCACCCTCAGTGACGCAGACAATACATAATAAAAAATTAATTTATTTCAATTTGATGCGAAATATCCTGACCAAGAAAATAATCAAAGCGTATATGTACGTCAGTGTCTCACTTCGCATTTGGATTGTATCTTGTTTATGTACTTTGTATTGATTGTAAGATTTAATTAAAATGTTTTTTATTATTTATTGTTTAAGTCAGTGAGGTTTGAATAAGTAAAAACGTTCACTTAAGGTATTACTCCGATTGTATCATTATTTTAAGCTTAAAATTCTCACTTTTTCTTTTTAAAATCGAGAGAAAGGAAGAGATAGAAATAGTTTTAAGCATCGCTTAAATTCAAAGTAATGTTAGTGTTTGAGATTTTTAATTAAATTCTTTAATTAAATTGATTGTCTAGCAATATTTTTACTTTTGTGCACTTTTTATTTCGCTTCCATTTTATCGCTCTCTTTAAGTTTTTTATTTATTAGAAATTCTTTTAGTGATGTTTAATTTTTTTAATTAAGTTAGTTAATTTTACTCAATATTTTGTTAAATAATTTATGTGTGTGTGATGATGGAATCATATTCTAGAACTGTTATTAGTTATAAGAGAATTTTTATTATGTGTACCTGATATCCTAGGAGACTTAAGAGAAGTACAGTCAATGCAATTTGTATAAAAAGAGGTAAGCTATATATTGATTCCACTATAGCAATAAATCTAATATAATATGTAGAAATATATTTTTCCATTTATTATTCTTGCTTATACAAAGATGAAATATAAAACGTCTTAATGCATACTCACTGCAATGCTTCTGTGTGTCTGCGAATACTATACACGATATTCGCATAAGATTTATCTTTTGTGAACATTATTGTCAATTTTTCGTTTTCAAAAACTAATGCGGTTTCCAATCGATATCTAAACTCAAAATTTTTAGAAACTACAATTTTTAAAATACGTATCACCACAACAAATAAATTGTCTAATTATTTGCGTTGAATTCAAATATTACAGAATTTGTGTATTTGAATCATTATAGAATTGTATACTTAAATCACTTATTAGGCTCACCTCAAAGCTGCGAACAAACCACAGCAATATTCAACCACTGTTAAATACAGAACATCGATTACAGTTAGTAAAAACATGTACATAAACTCGCATATACTACAATGTATGAAAATTGGAACGTAATACGTGTCCAAATCAATCATGGAATTAATGCGAAAAGGTAGTCCTCTTTGTACGTTATTTGTTTCATCAGCTTCCTCGGATTCCACGTGCAAAACTCTCGACAGTAATGTTGCAAACAAATAAAGGACACTATGGCCTAGTAAAAAACCTAATTTGCACACAAATTTTCGTGATTTACTATATTATTGTCAAAAAGATTATAGTACTTTAGAGAACACAACCAACTCTCCGAGGATCGTTGATTATGTTCCTTGTTAGATATTATTTTATAAATTACTAGATATTTTTTAAATTTTCAAAGTTAAAATATTTGCATATTTAAAGATACTATAATATGCTGAGTATTTTTCAAAATGACTTAAGAAATGTAATATGAAAAAATTTAATTTTGTTGCAGTATATTATTGTACCCTATAATAATATTAAAATCACACACACCCGTATAAGCGTAGCCTAACTTTCGCCCATGCTGTGCATGAAAATTCTGTATCTTAGTTTCTTCGTCCGACTTTGGGGAAAGGCAGTATTCTTGCATCTTTAGTAGAAGTATTTTTATCTAAAAAAGATTTACATATGAAATATAATTTTTTATTATTTGCCGAACTTATTGTTATTATTTTTTAATTTTTATACAAACATTTTTATTTACGCACCTTTGGTAATGTACGTACCGCACATAATATTTTGCTTATGATCAATATAGCGAAAAATAATAACGGTAAATTATCGATCACCTCGAAGAAATTGTGTCTGATCTCAATTATACCTGCCAGCTACAATTTTCGTTGATTTTATTACGCACATGTCATATAACAAATAATTTTAATTGAATTCAATTATAATTTATATTTATATTTAATTTAATTATGTCAATTTTATATTTGATGAAACAATATAAATAAGGCATAAAGATATTTAATTTTTCAAATTTTTTGAAAGATAGCGCAATAAAAAATTGCAATAATACATCTATACAGTACTCTTTTAAAATACGCGTTTATTTTCAACTCACCTCGAATATAAATCCGGATCCAAATATCAGCATCAAAATGGTATATATCGTGTAACGTCTACTTCGCGTATGAAAAGGCCATAGACCACTGATATTTAGTAGTAGTCGAATGATGTTATAATGCGAATTCTGAAAGAACTGATCAATATCACCCATTCTATCTTTTACTTCCTGTCGTTATTATTATAGAAGCGAAATTCAGTCACCAAGCAAGATATAGATCGTGTCGGTCTCTCATTAAGAATTCTGTTTAATGTTGGATTATCGTGAAATCTAAAATATATTGTGAATATATTTGATAACGTGTTTTGCTGCAAAAAGCAAAACTGCACAGTGTAAAGTCGCAAGATTATCTTATAGAAATTGCGTAATTATAGAAAAGAGGAACAACCATAAAATATTTTCTTAGTGGATTCAATAAAACAGGTATAAAAATTTTATTCATAAATGGATTTAATATCAAACTATTATGAGAAAAAGTAGTTGCAAAATCGACTGCATTAGAAAATAACAGTCTTACGGAGTATAAGCTTATTAAAGGTCTATTGTATTGTATATTACTATTGTCGAGGATTTTTTATACTTATGTTTTATTAAAGATAAATAAAACAAAGATGGTTTATCAAAAAGATGAAGTACAAGTATAAGTATATTTTCGCATTTAATTGTTTCTTAGAAATATAGATGATTTGCTGTTAATTAATAATAAATTTTATATTTATTATATATTGTTTTGTATTATTAATAATTTTATATTTTTTAGAAGAAAAATTTCGAAAATTTTAAATTACAGTACGTAAAACTGTGAAATACGAAGCGGATGCACGTACGACCTAAAAAAATATACAAAAAATATACAAATTTTTCAAAAATATTAATTAAAAAAAACATCATATAAAAGTATTCATAGTCCGTTCTTAATTCAAAACTGTATTTTAAGATGTTAATATGCCTTTATAATTGGCTTGTGACATCTTAAAAAAAGATTATACTTAAAACTGCTTAAATATAAGAACCGTCTATGAACACGATCAAAGAAAATTATGTTTTACCGCGCTGAAACTCGGAAAAGAAAGAATCATGATTTTTCCAACAGTCAACGTACAAGGTGAAGTACTTCTCAGCATTATCATATTCAAGAGCTTTCTGGATTTGAGCGATGATTCATACCATTCACCTCGGTAACTTATATAAAAAATTTTCTCATTATACATATATATATCACAAATAGAAAATATTTAGAGGAACTATTTTGTTTTGTACAGAATATTTGCACGATATATATTAAGTTTATTAGCTAGTAACTAAGTATAGGCTTCCACTTACGTCGATGTGTACACGTGATCGCTATGATCGATTACTTGTTGCCCTAACCAGCACACGATATATAAATGCAGTAATTGAGCAATGATGTATGAGGCATGCCGGATTGCAAGATGTGGATTGATAGTCCTACTAGTTGCCTAAATATTTAGAAAATTGTACAATATATGTTATCACATTATTATAATATATATTGATATTTTTAAAAATATTTAATGTTATCATGATGTGTCAAACACAAACCTGTAGAGCCGACATACTCATCGCCAATATGATCAAACCGACTTCGAAGAAAAAAGCTTTTGTATAAATAGCATCCAAGCACCTCGCGAATCTTGTTTAATGAAAGAGTTTAATAATTATGTTTTATTAACTCTTTCTTTAAAATACATAAATAAAAAAAATCCTATATTTCTTGTAATTATGCAGAAGTATACACTAACCGTAAAACGTCTTTGTGTTTTTGTATACAATATATGAAGTTTTTGTAAAACTTATCATCTTCTTCGAGCAAAGCAAGTTCTTTATCTTGCTCGATCGACTTTCGTATATACTCTAATCGATATCTATGAAACAAAATAAAACATTCGAGTTTTTTACAATGAGATGGCAAAAATTGTAAAATGCTAAATGGGATGAGCCATATCTCATTCGAAAGAGGAAGTTGCATGTACTGTACTAGCACTGTAAAAAGGTTTTAAATGTTTTTACTTTAATTTTTATCCACAAAATTAGATGGCAACGTATAAATAATTAAAACTTCAAGAAATCTTGTTATTTATTGTTACATGTAACAAAAAGTGCAGTTATTAGTATTTTTATTTAAAACAGTGTAAGAAAAATAAATTACATTATAAAATGTAATTATTACATTAAAAAATTAACACTACGGAGATTCAAACTCTCGTTGACCGGATAAGAAAAAATATAATCATTCAATTACGCCGCTTTATTATGTCTGTGAAATTAGCACCGCCATTTTGTCAGAACAAAAAAACAATATAATTTTCTCATAATCAAATATCCATACATACAAGCTTTTACAGTGTTAGTACAGGCAACTTCAAATAAGCTACAACTCATCCCATTTAACATTTTACAATTCTTTCCAGCTCTTCGTTAAATTAATTTATTGGCGATTATTCAAGTCGTTAACTCTTTATAAACATAGTTATGTCCTGCAAATTTTTTTTTAACTAGAAGTATCAAGTAATTAATTATAATATTAACTTTATATATATATATATATGTATATATATATTTTATATATATAATTTTTTAAAATATATAACCTTAGAAATAAATGCTTTTTAAAGATATTAAGGTATATGTAAAAATCACTTAAAGATTTTTTTATATTGTTAAAATAATGAAAATTAATCTATGACACAAAAGATCCATTATGTGTAGTAAAGGACTGGAAAATAATCGGGTGTACTAACAATAAGTTAAAATACCTGACAACTGAAAACAATGCGCAACAATGTTGCACGAGAATAGTCACGAAGGTATCCGTAGCAACTAGGGTAGTAAGACGAATGGCAGTAGTTAAGTAATTATGAATCAGTATAGGATAGTAGTATTTTTCGAGATCTACGTAGTATTCCACATGATATGGAAATCCCACTGGCCGCGTCGAATATTCGGAAGTTACGTTTTTGCCGATTATTTTCGGAATTATCGCGAGAAACGGAAAAAGGCTGCCAAAAGCATACATACCACCTAAAATCAGACAATACTTTAAAAGAAGTTGCATATTTATGTATTTGGTAATACTGTTCAGTATATGGAAATATTTTTAAAAATAAATACGATTTAATTACTTTTTTCATTAAATAAATTATTTTGGAGTATATACTAATTTTTAATAAGTATCTTATTGTGTGGCTATCATACATCATGCAAACATAAAATTTTAATTGTTGTTAATGTAATTATTAACTAAAATTGTTTTTATGATCGAGATTAGTTTTAATATATAATATAATATAATATAATAGTCGTTATTTCATTTTCTTACCGGCATAGGCGATGGTAATGATTCTTCCACTCTCTGTAAATTTATGCAAAATTTCAAATTCACTTTTGATAGTCCATGATCGCCAATCTCTTTGTGTATGTATAAGAAGTATTTTGATCTACAACTTAAAATTCCATTTTTTTTTACAAATGTAATCTCGTACTTAATGATGATACTATGATCTTCTACATACTTTCTCTATATTGCATGTTAAATTCACTAGCTTAGTGATGCACACGAAGTCTATTATAAGCGGTGGTATACACTCGATAATTGCATCAAAATCGCCATGTAACGTCACTAAAGCGAGTACCTTGAATCCAATACTTTGTTTAATGAAGAGATTGAAATAAAAATTAGTTTCGCAAAATATAAAGACATATAATCGATTCACCTATAATTTTACTGATAATTTCATACATTTTTAATTTTAAATTTCTAATATTTATATATTTTTACATATTTCTCATTTTTTAATCTTTGATATCATTATAAGAAGAAAAAAAATCTTCTCAAAAACAGAGATGGATTGGTAGATGATTAATTATAAGAATCGCAATGTAGGAAATGTACCTGGGCGATGGCTTGCGTTACACCAATAAGGGATATTATTACAAAAATAATCCGTCTGTTTTTTTGGAAGGGCCATTGTCCTAGCAACGAAAGTAACATACGATTGATTCTATATAACCGGGACTGAAAGATATCATTCGACGTATCCATCTTCAACACTCGATTTGGACTACTGCATCGTTGGTATCGCCTCTTACAATTTTCAGTCTAATAAAAAATTCTCTTAGAAAGAAAGAGCGTAATAGATATAGTGAGTTACGAGAAATTACCGATATTGACATGACTGATTGTTCCACTAGAATGATAAAAGACTTAGACGATCAAACACTTATCTTAGAAAGATACATGTTTATGATTGATTTTATGCTGATGCATCTTATAGTCGTCTTATACCTTGTAATAAGAACTTGGTCAATATCGAAATATTGTAAAGTTAACGCACATCATGAATAGTATTGTATCCGCCACATGTTTCTTCGAATTATGTTTTTGTTCGTAGAAGTCAATAATGGACGTTGGCTTGAAAATGTTTCTTGGCAGCTCTTTTAAAACAGTTTGGTTTACAAAGATATAGCAAAAATGTTATTTTATACATTATTTTGTTAACATAATTAACGCGCATAAGATATAAGTCTCTAGTTATAATCGTAATTTAAGAATAAATTATATCTTTATTAACATAATTATTATTTAATAAAATAATTAATATAAATCATACCTAACAGAAATAAAAGAACCAAAAATATCAAGAACAAATGTATCTCAATACTGCCACAAGTAATTTTTTATAATTCAGAAGTTTACATTTATTGCCTATTATACATGTAAGAATACATAATCGTGCAGATTATTATTTTTTAGAGGGAAAGATTAACTTTAACAAAAAAATTGATTCGAAAAATAATTAACAACTTAGATGCATCGTTACATTTATGTGCAGTAACGCACATACATAAAATGAATGAAAAACTTCGTAAATGATATATTTATATATGTATATATTATATATGTATCACACATTATCATCGATTTGCAATATTTTATAAAGCTAATTATGAATTAGTTTTTATATCATAATTATCTGCGATAGACAAGTTAGTGTCAAAGTGTATGATAACAGCTTGTAGCAGATTCGTAGAATCTATGTCATTAGTATAAGAATAGTGATCATCGCATATTGTTATAGAAGTGAAAACGTATAAGACATAAATGCTGCATGATCTGAAAACGGTTTATTTACACACGGATGACTATTGCATATGATTATATTATTGTTATTAACTCTGTCAAGGATTTTATGAACCAAAACTCAATCTTGGCTAAAATTTAAGTTGTAATGTTATAGATGCGATAAATCCTTGCTATATTAAAAGCCAGCTTATAAACGTTAGAGTTTGTATAGAAGAATTTTTAGAGAGCGAGGAACAGTTATTTAACCTTAGAGATCAGGAATTATAAGTAATCGAACGCTGGTAGTATATATAATTAATACTTATATTTATTCATAGTAACAAACGTACGACTTAAGAGGGAAGGGGAGTATTTCGTGAGATATTTCCTTAAGTAATTCTTTTCCAAATTAATAACATAAAATTAGCAATTTATGATTCTATATTTATTTAACAGTATCAATTTATAATTAGGTTTGAAATAAAAAAATCAACACAACAAAAAAAACACATCAAATCTAAAATCAATATTATGGTGTCTGCCGGCACGGATATTGTATTAAACAATACAAATATATAATATAAATATATAATTTTAACAATAAAAGTATTGTTTTTAATGCCAGAATATTTTAGTTAATTCGTGATGGTTAATATGTATCCTAGTTAGTTTTAAAAAATAAACATTATATATTATATTCAATTAAATAAGTTTGACGATTAAAATTAATAATTAAATTATTAATAATTTTAATTACAAAAAAAATAATATAATGATACATATGTATATATATTTATTATTTATCACATATAATTTTGTAAAGAAATAGTAACTTATACAATATTAAAAAGCTTTTTTAAGAACACATTCGATTAGTGCACAAGAAAAATGCTTTAGTTGTTATATTTGATATGTTAAATAAATAAGATAGCAATTGTCATATTACACATATGATAATTGTTAGTTTATTTATTTAATATAGTTTTAATTCTTCGAACGTAAATCATTATACGCGAACCATTATATTGTTATTGGACTGACGTGAGCATTGTAAAATAAGACATGGTCATTTTTAAAAGCTGAAAATAATATCATAAAGACGTTTTGTTTGATCGAACTATCATCAAAGTAATATTACGTTTTCGTACATACCTTGCTAAAAGTTTCCAATGACATTACAAATATATTACCAGCTTTTATTTGGCACGGTTTAGTTGCACGCATTAATGTGAATCTCAGGAGATGTCTAGATCTCAATGAAATCGTGTACCAGTAGCAGCTATAACTGATAATGAATTGGATACATTAATTTTTTTCATACACTTCTCATTGTTTATGAAATATGACATTAACTTTTAAAAAGCGTTCTAAACGTTAAATATTATACATATATATTTAAGACAAACAAATGATGAAATATATTATTGCCAGAGGTATTTGATTTTATTCATCTTCTTTTCGATTTAATATATGTAAATCTTTTAAAAATTAGTGCAAAAATTGTTGGCAATATTGTTGGCAAACAAATACTTACATCACATTTTGGAGTTCGTTACTGTAATCGATCAATCGTTGAGACGTTAAACTCAGATAATATATGTGTAGCAATTGTGCTGCATTAGCGGCGAGAATTCTGATAATTTCGTCAAATTGATTATCCACCATTATCAACTTAAATAATATATTTTATTAGATATTTTCTAAATAATACAATTATATTATTTAAACATTTCAGATTCATCTTGAAAAAGATTTACCTCCGCCGTGCCAAAGCTCAAGCAAATAACTACATTTCCCAGCATAATTAAGAAAGATGTTGCGTAAGTAGATGAAAGCAAATCAGAAAACCTTTGCATAAAATGATGAAACAAATATTATATTAGTCTATTTGAATAAGTCTAAAATAATTAAAAAACAATAAAGAAAAAGAACTACGAGCCAAAAATTATTTTATAAAATTAAACATCGTTAATATAGAAGTTTGAACATAAGTAAAAAAAAAAACAATTCTTTAGTTAATTTAATACAATGTGCTAGCAATAAACAAACAGTTTCGATCGAGATCAGATCATTTATAAAATAATTTTTGGCTCGTAGAAAGAGAGAGAGAGAGAGAGAGAGAGAGAGAGAGAGAGAGAGCTCTTTTTCTTTATTGTTTTTTAAATTTTATAAGCCTTATTACTAATAGACATTTTAAAATAATTAATTAAACTACATAAAATTTAATATAAAATTACTTTACGTAATATACAATTGAAAATTTAATTAAATTGCCATAAGTACGTTACATAAAAAAATTACATCATATTATTTCATGAATAATGAATTAATATTTTATCCAATTTTTATTTTTGCACAAATGTATCTAAAAGAAGCTGACTTACTTTATGATACGTTTGTACAATTTAATGCAGCTGACTATGCTATGGTATGCTTTATCATCTGCAATGTCTGGATTGAGCAGTGTAAACTCTGAGCTTCGTATTTGCTCTATGTTATATCTGTTTGATAAAAAGTATAATTTTTGTCCGAAATATAGTCATGTTTAAAGATTCTTTCAAAACTACCGCTTTGTTTTCTTAAATGACTTACTTTACACATCTGAACAACGCGCAAACATGCTGAATGTACAGTGTGAATAGATTGTCGACAGCTATCGGCACAGAGACTATGTAGAATACACTGATAAACCCGTGAAGCATCAACAGGTTGTAATATTTGTCCATATCAAGAACATGTTCCAGGCGATATAGAAACCTGGCCGAGTATGTTTCGTTCGTCGGTAAAAGCGTGTATATCCCACTAACAATGATCGGTGGAGTAGTATAGAAAAGCCACATTGCATAAAGACCGACTGCAATAAGTTTTTTTTTCTTCATATTGTTTTAAAAGTTATATTAGGTGTTGGAATTAATTCGTAGCGTTTTACAAGTGATGGGAAGTACTTTCATTAATGTATTTTTTAATGCTCATGTGAAATAAATAATTCTTTCATTAAAAAACGCTACGAATTAATTCCAACACCTAATAATATTGAAATAAAAAAAAGATAGATTTATATAAAAATTCATTGAAAATTCAAATCTAATTTTGAAAACAAAAAACATTTTTTAATCTGTTAAAAGATTCTTTATATAAATAATTTGCTAAGAATAGATTCAAGCAACGTCAAGAAGCAATGATTTTTTTATGTACTGCTAGATCTTTTGATATTGTAACCTTCCGTTTGCAATCTGAGTCCTTGACACAAGTGAAATTTGAGAAATTTCACTCTCAAATTTATTCGAGAAAAAAAAGAGAGCAAAGTTCGGGTTCCTTTTCTAAAATACATTGTTAAAAATTTGATAATTTTTAATAGAGATACTAAAAGTAAAGTAACTCTAAATTTTCCACATTTTTGGAAAGTCTAGAAGAGTAAAAGAACTTGAACAAACAAAGGGAATAAAAATATGATTGCAGATGGAGGGTTAAGGCTGTAACACAAATTTTTTATTGTTATAAAATGAAGGCAACTCACTTGCGTATCGTATTGTAAAGCTTTTGTTTTCCTCCGCATAATACAGTAATATTTTATTCTCTGGTCCCTCGTGTATTACTTTCCAAGTCTCTTCAATATGCTCTAGAAGCTCTTTTATCTGTAGCTCGAAGAAATCGTGCGGATTACAATTATTAAAAAAAAATAAGTTGATTAACTTGATGCGCATCAAAAACATAACGTACGAACTTTATAATTATTATTGATACTGTTGACTAATTTCGTAATGATGAAGGTACACACTAATAACGGCGAAGTATTCTCCATAATAATGCTCAAATCTCCTATTCCAGCTATCAAGCCCCAAAGCTGTAGAATATGAAAAATAGACCATTAGTTTCGATTCTAACGTTTGTTGTCATACGTATCTTTAACCACCTCTAAGGTTGCCAAACTAAAAATGAAAAACACCGTAAAGATGAACATCACGTTGTTCTTCAGTCGCGATTGAAATGGCCACTGACCGATAATGCATAGAAACGTTTTGTTGAGATGATAGAAGTGATTGTCGTACAAAGACATTTTGTTATAGCAAGCTAATAAAAGGATACTCTACGAGACAATCACATATCTCGTCGAATATTCACACCTAATCGCAGAACTTATTCTGTATTCCCTTGGAAACGGTTGGTTTCTAAAAGAAACGGAGTGCAACGTAAAAAAACTACACTCAGATAATACTCCACAATTTTGCGTAACAATGCATTACATATTTATAAATAATGAGTCATATTTTTCTTAACGAAACCCTTTGTAACTGATGAAATATATCTGCAGACAGACATTCTATACCTTTTGCGTTATAAATCAAGTAAAACTATAAGATAAAGAGTAGTACGAAACATGTGATTCATGTGATCAACAATGAAACAATTTACTTTTCATACTTGACACTTGTTTGAAGCTAATCGATATCGAAGAAATTAGTTCTTCGACGTATAATATTTTTACATGTAATTTAATCAATTAAATATGTAGAATGATTCTACTAATTGAGCTGAATTATAGCTCTTTTATAAGTTGAAATAGAAAATATATTAGCCGTTTTCTCAAACATTGGAAAATATTCTTTTTTTTTTCTTATAATATTGTCAAAGTTTGGTTATTAGAACAAACTATTATAAATGTGATCTTTCACAAGTTATTTTCTGAAATAAATTCTTCAATTCAAATACATGTTATTCATCAAAAATCTAAGAAAAAAGAGAATTGTGTATTATTTAAAGTCTATAGTTTCTATATAGACCTATAAATTTTAAAGACGAATTTTTTTATTTCCATTTTCCTGATACATACTTAATTGTATATGGTAAAATGTGCCTTATCTGTTTATATTATTTAGATAAATGATCCGATACATACCAACAGATGATATGAACTTTTATCAAAGTGGTTTAACGAAAAAATAAAAATAATTACTAAATAAGAATAAGCTTATAATTACACATATGTAACGTAGTTCTTCTATTTATTAAATACATTTCACTTTTTGTAATAATTATAAACTTGCTTTATATGTATTTTATTTTACTGTTGTTGGTATTTTCTAAATTAATTTTTAAAGATTGAACTGAACACAAAAGATAAATATATGTTGTACAATCTAGTAAACAAACTTGCAAAATTATGTGTATTTTTTTATCTTGTACAATATATTTTATATGATTTTTCTATATGATTATACATATATATATGTATATAATCTAGTAATTATAATTGCTTAATTAATAATTATGATGGTAAAATTTTTATTACAACTGTGCGCAAAATTTCGTGTAAAAGAAATAATTAATCAATACTTATGCAAAATTGATAAATTCTTTAAAAATATATTTTTATAGTGCAATAGAAAAATCTGAACTTATATGTCTCATACAATTTGGTATAGCATGTGATACTAGAATATTAAATAATATTGATATAATTTTAAAAGCTAAATTGATATTGCTATTATAAACATCCAGTTACGATTTTTATCGTAGTGATATAAGCAGCATAAAGTACGATAAGGATGTTTGTACAACCTAAAAATAATATCGCAATAATGTTGTGTTTTAAAAAATTTAAATAATCAATAAAATAATATTACGTTTGCACATACCGAACTAAAGTTTTCCATCGACATTATGAACAGCTTACCAGCTTTTATTTGGCACGGCTTAGTAGCACGCAATAATGTAAATCTCAAAAGATCTTTCGATCTCGTTGAAATCTCATACCAATTGCAGCTGTAACTATTAATGTTTTCACTACTTAATTTTTTTATATAATTTTTGTTAGCCTACCAAACGACAATATTGATCATTAAACTATGTAAACAACTAAAATAAATTTTCTTTTATTTTACATATTTTCTTTGTGTATTTAATATATTTTTAGATTATTTAAATATTATTTGCTAACAAATATAATCGAATTGCGTACATTACATTTTGAAGTTCGCTGCTGTGATCAATCAGTTTTTGCGAAATCAAACTCAGAAAATATATGTGTAGCATTTGCACTAAATTACCAGAGAGAACTCTGATAATTTCGTCCGGTTGCTTGTCTACTAATATCAGCTTAAATTGCATAATTTTATTAGACATTTTTCAAATTAGAAATTAATTATCACATATACATTTAAGGCTACCATACATGTATCTTGAAAGTTTACCTCAGCTGAACCGAAGCTTAAGGATATAATTACATTTCCTAATAGAAAGAGAAATGCTATTGAGTAGCTAGATGATAACACATCGGAAAGTCTACATGTAAAATAATTAAAAATAATTCAGTTTATTTAACAAAATGTAATATAATCTGTAGGGGGGTGATTAAATTTAATACAAAATTTAACACATATAAATTAACATGAATTTGAAAATTAGATATTTTACAAATATTTTGTAAGTTTTATTATACTGTGCAAGATGTGTGAGTGCGTGTGTGGGCATAATATGTACACACACACATACACACACACACACCTCTTGCACACACACAGTATGATAGAATTTACAAAATTTTGTAAAATACTTACACACTTCGTATATGTATTTATATGTATCTATATAGGCTACTTTTCTTTTAAGAGACACAAATTGACACATTTAAATGGAACGCAATATGCGCAATGTGTGGGCGAATTTTTAATATCTAATCTTTTAAAAAATTTTAATCAAAGATGGTCAAAGAACTGAACAAAATGATAGGAAGTGGTTTGCGTATACTTTCTAATATCGTTAAATTTATCAAAATCGCATTTAACACACTTTGACTCTCCTTCCTAGCGAAGTGTGTCGATTCAGTTTGAATAAAATTATAAATGGAAAGCGACATATATCGATTTGTGTCAAGTGTGTCGACTGTGTGTCTCCTAAAAGAAAAGCAGCCATAGTATATATGTTGATAATTATTTATTCTATTTTTTTATTCTTTAATACTTATCATTTAATACTGTATTTGATTTAACTTTTAGTTTGTGTGTGTGTGTGTGTGTGTGTGTGTGTGTGTACACGCACATTAAAGCCTGCATTAATACTAACTTTAAAACATGTTTGTAGGATTTGATACAGTCAATTATGTGATGATATGATTCGTCATCCTCAATGTTTGGCTGAAGAAAAACAAAATCCGAGCCTTGTATGCGCTCTATGTTATAACTACTTAATAAAATTATTATATTACCATTTTTATAAAAAGAGATCTCGACGCAGTTTATTCGTGACGGCAACTTACCGTAAGCATTCAAACAACGCACAAATGTGTTGAATGCAAAGTGTATACGTTGTGTCGAGAGCTATCGGTACAGAAACTATGTAAAATATGCTAATAAATCCATGAAGCATCATTATGTTGAAATATTTGTCCATATCAAGAACATGTTCCAATCGATATAGAAACCTAATGTTATACGTTTTGTTCGTCGGTAAAATCTTGTACATCCCGCTAATAACAACTGGTGTCAGAGTGTAGAACAGCCACACAGCGTAAAAAATAACTGAAATGTTACTCCGTCTCCTTTACATTGCTCAAAAAGTCATGATATTTTTACAGGAAAAGAATGCAGTTTATTTAACATGTATATATATATGTATGTATGTACAATAAAAAGGTAGTATTTAGAGTAGAAAATTACAAATATTCCAACTTATATACTTTCGAAGAAAAGGAAGAAGAAAAAATTTTGGGCAATACTAATAATATAATAAGAACAGATCAAAAGAAGGAATAAAAAGGTAATATCAGTGTTTCATATCTTACTAGATGTGCAGTATTTATCTGAAAAAAAGAAATGAGTATATTGTGCGTGTATCGTATAATAAAGACAACTTACTTGCGTATCGTATGGTGAAGATTTTGCTTTTCTTCGCGTGATGCTGTAATATCTCTTTCTCCTGGCCCGTATGTTTTATTTTCCACGTTTCTTCAACATCCTTCAGAAGCTCTTTAATCTGCACAGCTCGAAAAAATTATTCGGTATATAATCACATTACGATTAATTTATACATGGCAGAATGTAAGAATACAAACTTTGTTATTAGTTAACACACAATTCATCAGCTTCAGCATCATGAAACAATCCACTAGTAAAGGCGAAGCGTTTTCCATGATGATATTCAGATCCGTTATCCCAGCTACTAAGCCCCAAGTCTGTTGAAAATGAGAAACGTATCATCAAATGTACATCAATTTTAATATATCCTTTCTTTATATTTCTTCAAACACCTCAAAGGCTATCAAACTGAGAATGAACAAAAATGCTGTAGCAAACATCATGTTACCCTCCAGTCGCGACTGAAATGGCCACTGGCCGATTATGATCATAAACCTTTTGTTGAGGTAATAATAGTGATTGTCAAAGAAAGACATATTGCAGTACTGAGAAATCAAAATATTATCGTTCGAAATCGTTCAGATATCTTGTCGAATATTCACGATTGTCGCAGAGTTTATATCCTTGATATAAACTAAATAATACTTCCGTATTTCTTTGAAAATATTTTCAAAAAGAAAAATATAGCCCTACGACAAAACAATGAGATATATCCCGCAGTACTCTAATCACATATTTATGAGTAATCCGTCTCTCAATGAACTCTTTTTGTGACTGAAAAGATCTATAACTGCGACTGCACATTGTATATCCTTTATAAATCGAGTAAAATTCCTAAAACTATAAGATAAATGGTAGTAATCTGCATACAAATTGCAAAATCACAAAAATGAAACTGTCTTACTTTATTTAAATCCAAAAAGATCCAGTCAGTATATTGCAGGAATTAGTTCTATGGAGTTCTATGGAGTTTATCTGAAGCGCTATTTTTAAAAAAGATATTGTTCACAGTTCTAAAATATATATTTTTCAAGATACTATCGTATTATGTAAATTATAAATTACCAACAAACTTTGAATAATTTTAAATAATCTTTTCACTTTTATTATTTTAAATATATTTGTAACTATATACGATTTGTTGTTTACTTATGTCATTTGTCGCGAAAGATCTGTTAGCTGAATGATATATTAACTTAATTTAATTAACTGATGATATTACAATGTTAACACATCGAAGAAAGAATGAATTAGGATTATTAAATAAGAATGAATTAGTGTACAGACATACGCAGTATATCCATATATACAATAATTTCCACTTTTTTAAAATACATTTTATTTTTTATATTATTTTGTATTAAACATTTTTTAATATATTTTTCATTAAAATTTTTCAACAAATTAAAAAAAAAATGAATTAGAACCATAATACTTATCAGTAAATTTATGTACAGATATCCACGCTAAACATATATAATTTCTATCTAATTTTTTATTAAACTTTATTTCTAGTAATAATTATTTCTTTACTTTATTCAAATATTTATTTACAATTTAGTTAAATATACATATACCTATGTTATATTTTTCTTAAAACTTTTTTAATCCAGTTTGTATAACTTGCACATTTGTTTTAAATGATTATTTATTTAATAATTATATTTATATTTACATAATAATTGTAACAACAAAATGATGATTTATGTCAATTAGTATTTATATTACGATTTTATTTTGTGTAAAAAGAATAATCCATATCAATACAAAATTGACAATATTTAAAAAATGTTTTAATTATAGTGTACTAGCAAAATGTTTTAATTTATATACTTGATATAGTAAATTAAATGGTTTTTTTTTTTTTTTAATAGATGAGGACAATAATGATATTGATGCACCAGAGGCTATATATATTTATAATTTCATCACAAACCTTCAGTTATGTATTTCAGATACTTATTGTAGTGACGTAAGCATCGTGAAATATGATAAAGATACTTTTAAGACCTAAAAATAATACCATAATATTGTATTTTAAATAATTACCAAAATAATGTTACGTTTAAACATACCGAGCTAAAATTCTCCATCGACATTACAAACATATTACCAGCTATTATTTGGCACGGTTTAGTAGTACGCAGCAAAGTAAATCTCAAGAGCTGTTTCGATCTCCTCGAAATCTTATACCAATCGCAGCTGTAACTGTTAATGTATTTCACACTTTAGTCATTTATGTAATTTTAGCCTACAAAATGACAACATTGACTATTAATTAATTAATTGTTCAAAACAAAAAATAAATATATAAAACAACTGAAATATATTTTTTCTGATTTTACACATGCATCTTTTCTGATATAATATACAGAGTTGCTACAGATCTGAAAAACCAAGAAAACAGGGAAAAGTCTGGAATTTCTAAATTTGCTTACAATTCTCTAGAACTGCTTCTATTCCGAATAATTGTTATAATTTTTTAAATATTATATCTAATGTTTATAGTCAAATACGTTCAAAATTTGTGTATTTTAAATGATTTTAATAAAATAATTAAAATTTATATTTTATTCAGTATTTTTATTTAATTTCTCTTTTTCGTCATAACTGCATTCTTTTTTCAAAATTAATTTATTTTTTGCCGACTTGAATTTGCATCCAGATATGCTGCTAAACTTTTTTGTTGTTTTTAATAATATAGACTAGCTTTCCTACAATTCTTGTCTAAATGTAAAAATTTACATATTTTATATTACTCATAGAAAATTTTCTATTTTTATCTGGAAAAGTTAAGAAATTTTGAAATTCATTTTCTATGGCAATCCTGATATTTTTTTTTAGATTGCTTATTAGCTAACAAATGTAATTAAAATGCGTACATTACGTTTTGGAATCCGCTGCTGTGATCAATTAATCTTTGAGAAATCAAACATAGGAAATATATATGTATCAATTGCGCTAAATTAGCAAAAAGAATTCTAATAATTTCGTCCAGTTGATTGTCTACCATTATTAACTAAAATTACACAATTATTAGACGTTTTTAAATATAAAATCAATTATCGTTTAAAATTTTCATATACAGTAAGAGCAAAAAGTATTTGTACAAGGAAATTTGTTATAAAAAAAGTCTTATTTGTAGAAAATAAACATTAATTAGCAATTTTATATAATGAATACATTCTGTTATAACATAAACAAACAAGTTTTGCATGTATTCCTGATTTTAGAAGATAAATTTCTCGTCTGTAGGAATACTTTTTGAGCATTCAAACAATACAATTTTTAATTTTCGCTTTTTTTTCAGATGATATATTTTGTATAATTAATATATATCTTTTTAGTACATATAATTTTAAGAAGCATATAGTCTATTTTATTCTTTATGAATAAATTATTAATTATCCAATAAGAAATGATCGTCAATTAAACATCGAATCGACATCAAATTGATGTTGAAATCATTGTATTTATATCGATTCGACATCAATTCGATGATTCATTTCTCGCTGGATAATATTAATTTTTAAAAATAAAGTTTTTTTAAAAAAATATTTTCTCTGTACGAATACTTTTTGCACTCACTGTATTTCAAATGTTTACCTCTGCCGCGCCGAAGCTCAAGGATATAATTACATTGCCCAGTTGAAAGAGAAATGATGTTGCATAGTTAGATGAGAACATGTCAGAAAATCTACATGTAAAATAATGAAATAATGAAATAATTTAATCTATTTATCAAGATTATTAAATATTAGCAAACTAACAATCAGCTTTTGCTCTTAATCCTTGATATCTTTTAAATTGTTCTATTCAATTGAGCTTTATGTATTAATCTTAATAAAATTAAATTCATTTTTTAGTGTCAGCCCTCCATTTTACAATTTTTTTCAATTTTCATGATTGTGCTAAGTTGTGCTAAGTTATGCTAACATTGTGCCAAAATGGTATCCTCAAATAATGACAATAACAGAAGTTATGATTAAAAAACGATTTTTCATAATTCGAAATAAAAATGACGCTAACATTCGTATGAGTTATTCAAATATTATAAAATTGCATATCTGAGTTGTGCTAGCCTAGCACAACTCTCAGCGTCCTCGGCACAGTGATATTAAGAGAACTTACTCTTGCGCGTAGCTCTCTGTGATTTGCTTTTCTGTCAATTACTCGGGTTTGCACATCCATTTTCTTATTAGGATTTTTACTTTATCTCTAGAATATGCTGTGAAGGTATTGCACACACACACACACATGCACGCATGCACGTAATTACGTTAATACTAACTTTAAGGCATGTTGATACGATTTGATGCAGCCAATTATGTCACGATATACTTCATCATCCTTAATATTTGGTTCGAGTAATATAAAATCCGAGCCTCGTATGCGCTCTATGTTATAGCTGCTTAAAAATTATAAAATCGTAACACACAAAAAAATAAATTCTTAAAGAAATGCATAAATGCTTTAATCCAAGAATATTTTATGCTTAGAATAGCGAAATGCCAAGAATAAACAATTTCCGATTAACAATAAATTATTCGTAAAATAAAATAAATTTTATTTTTAGTTCAAAACAAATTTTATTTCAATAAAAGACTAAAATTGCATTCGTTCAACACTAAATATGCTTATATTAGCATAATTTTTTTCTTCAATGATATCTTTAGCCAACTTATTTCAAATCTTCAGTATGCTTTCGAGTAATATCAAAATGACAGAAATGCTACAGTAAAGATGTTCGACAAAAATTTCGAAATAGCTTTATTATTTAAATTTAATAAGTATATGTGAACAAAATATTCAAACAGTATATATAACAGTCTATGTAAACAGTATATATGAACAAAACATATAAATAGAATATAGAGTATTTTCTAAATAAAATATATATTGTATAAAATATATATATTTCTAAATAAAATATATATATTGTCATTTCCGTTATTTGTAAGACTGAAACGCTGGAATCATGAAATAAAAAAATAAAAAAAATAAATTTAACTTTTAACTTTCAATTACTTTTTTTTATTAACTTAATTTTTAATTCAATTAATTTCATTACAATTAACTTGTATCTTAACTAAATTAAATTTTCAAAGTTGTTAATTTTAACTTAACTTAGTTAAAAAAAAAGTTAACTTACACAACCCTGTTAATGCGAATGAACATTTATAATTGAAGAGAACATTTTATATTTAAATGAAAGTAAATAGCATTCAAGAATAAAAATATACGTGAATCAGGAATTCATTTTTTCCTATAAATTTTTTAAAAGAGATCTTGATACAACCTTCTTCGAAAGAGCAACTTACCGTAAGCATTCGAACAACGCGCAGATATGCTGAGTGTAAAGTGTAAACGTTGTGTCGATGGCTATCGGTACAGAAACTATGTAAAATATGCTAATAAATCCATGAAGCATCAATAGTTTAAAATATTTGTCTAGGTCAAGAACATGGTCCATGCGATATAGAAACTTGACAGTGTACGTTTCGTTTATCGGTAAAATTGTATAGATTCCGCTAATCATGATTGATGTCGTTGAATAGAAAAGCCATGTCGTATATAAAACAACTGGAAATATTAAGTCACTTCTTTTCCTCTTTATGTTTCAAAAGTTACAACATTTTAATAAAAAGAAAATGAAGTTTATTTAATAAAAATAACAAAAATGTGGGCTGCACATTAAACAAAAATTTGCAAACACATTCTTATATAATGCTCTCGAAATATTTCGAAAAAAATAAAGAAAAAAGCATTATCTTGGATAAATAATAATATAATAAAAACGAAGTAAAAGAAAGGATAAAAAACTAAAATTAATTTCTCATATATTGCCAGATGTGTATTCGATAGAAAAAAATGAATAAATTTTAAAATAAAGGTAACTTACTCGCGTATCGTATCGTGAAAGTTCTGCTTTTCTCTGCGTAATGCTGTAATATTTTTTTCTCCGAATCTGTATGTTTTATCTTCCATGTCTTTTCGATGTCCTCCAAAAGTTCTTTCATCTATAGAACAAATAATTCACATACAACCACAGAATGATTCAATTCGTTTTTTATACAACCGAAAGATACGAACTTTGTCATTAGTAAATACGCAATTGACGAGCTTTATAATGATAATACTATTCACCAATAATGGCGAAGCATTTTCCATAATGATGCTTAGATCCGTTATTCCAGCTGCTAAGCCCCAAAACTGTGAAAAATCAGAAACGAATTATCAATGCTAATTTTAATGTTTCCTTGTTGTGCATTTCTTTAAACACCTCAAAGGCTGTCAAACTATAAATGAACAAAGATGTAATTGCGAACATCATGTTACCCTCCAGTCGCGACTGAAATGGCCATTGGCCGATTACGGCCAGAAACCTTTTGTTAAGATAATAGTAGCGACTGTCAAAGAAGGACATTGAGAAAAAGTAATCGTTCGAAATGATCAGATATCTCCTCGAATATTCACGTCTAATCGCAAAGTTTATTTCTTTGAAATAATATTTCCGTATTCCCCTTTGAAAGATTTTCAAAAAGAAAAATAACAACGAAAAAACAATGAAGTGTATTCCACAGTATTACACAATCACATATTTATGAGCAATGAATCGCGTTTCTCTCAACGGACAATTTCTCTTTGTGCTCGAAGAGGTCTATAACTACGACTATACATTGTATATTCATCGTTTTATAAATCAAGTGAAATTCCTAAAACTATAAGATAAATGATGGCAAGATATACCCAAACTGCTGCAAGATCGCAAAAAAACCGTTTTATTTTATTCAAACATAAAAAATAGTCGATATATTGCAGTAATTAATTTTATTAAGTTTAGTATTTTTACATTATATTAAATATACTGATGCTGCTGCAAATAGAATTTGAAAAAAAAAAGAATGACCATAAGTTTTCTTTTTTCTTCTCTTTTCTCTTTTTTTCCAAAAACATTAAATTTTAGACAATTTTTAAACGTAATTTAGTAATATCTCCATTTATCTATATTCTTTACATTATTAAGGTGGCATATTCATATTTTGTCAAGTTATTGTAAAAACTTTTTACTGGAAGTTTAAATAATTTAATTTTCAATTAGATAAGAGATTATTTTCTGCCATAATTTTCTAGATAATTCATATTAATACACTACAAATTTTTATATTCGAACATTTTATTTGTTCCTATAATATAGTGTTATTTGAGTTATTTGAAGCATAATTTGTAGCTAATTTTTAAATACTTTTAGTTTATATATTTTTTCTACTTTTCTTACACTGTTGGAAAAGTATCGAACATTAAACATTCATCGCAAGTCCTGAACGGTCCAATCAAATTTTTTAGTTAATTTGACAGAAGATTGATATGTGAAAAGATTGCACAAATATTGTAAGAGAATAAATACAAAAAAAATATCGACACAGTTTTTAAACAAATCGTGAAAACATATTTTTATTAATTAAAATGAACAATTATAATATATTAAATTAATGCATTTTATTCATTTATCTTAGAATTTACATTTTAAACACTTTATTTTTACGTTATTTGTTGATTTTGATGACCCATCACAAAAATTATGTCATTTTAATACTAATAAATATTGAATATCATTTTAACAAAAAACCTTAAATAACAAAATTTTATTATTTTATGTCAATTTAACACTCAAATGTATTAAAAAATTCAACACAAACTATTATTAAGAACGTGAGTGGAGCGTTTCCAACACAAATACACAATTTTTTCACTATATACTCAAGTATATAATTGCGTGCAAATTATTATAATTTATTATAATTTATTAAATTTATTAAGTAGAAACTTGATTGAAAATTAACTAAAAAATTAAAATAAGAAATATAATATTGTAAAGATTGTAAATTCGCTTTGTTCTTGTTACATTTAACATCAATATATTATCAAGTAACAGTATGATGAGTGATGCCATCACGAAGCTGACTGCGCTCGTGAGTGTAAAAACTAATAAAAGAAATTGTCTTTCTTTGCATAATTGCTTAGAAAAACGATCGTTGGATATACTTATCGTTAGGTGTATTTAAGAAGACCAGCGTAAACATCCAACTTCTCTCCATATTTTCCATCAAAATCTATATCATTGTATTTCTCTAACAAGCACCAATTGTGACAATCATGCTGAATGAGCATCCTAAAGTGCAGTTATGGCAATTTTTCTTAGACGAAAAATAACATTATGGTTAAGTCCGAATTGATTTGGTTATGCAATTTTTGACATCACTTGGAAGGAAAATTTTAGAAGTATTTGTGACTATTCTGTATGATTTTATATTCAGATATTGTTATTTATATATTTCTATGTTATTATTTTGTAAGTTTAAATTTGTTTCTTAACATTGAAAATGATTCGATTGGAATTAAAACATTTGTAATCTAATATTATTAAATAGTCTTTTGTATTTATCTGGCTCGTTGTTCAACTTTTTATGTTTTGATTTATTCGAATCGAGCCATCGTATTTCTTTTTATAATTAATATCTTGTTAACTATTGCAAAAATTGTAAAATGATAGACGATTTTTCGATTCAGTTTAGTCCATTCTATCTATATAAACTCCATTCTATCTATATAAGAGGACACCCTGTATATATTTATGAAATAAAAAATATTATTATTTATAAAATGGTTAAAAGCAATAATTTGATTTAACAGCAAACAGTAAGTTGTGCAATAATGTGGATTGTTTATTCGACAGAAATATGGCTAAATAAATTAAAATAATATCAAAAGATAATTCTATTGTAAGTACAAAGATGAATATAAAAATATCTCTTAGAGTTTTGTAATATAAAAATAATAAATATTGTATAAATATATATTATATATTTAACAATTATAGATATTAAAATTTGTATTTTTCTATTCAGATCTAATAATATATATGATATACTAACAACTGCAAAATTCATGATGATTATTTGCTGCTTCGTTTTTCATGCATTGACAATATTATCATGCAATATGTGAACGACACTTTCATTTTTAAAAAATGTTACATTATTATGTTGATGTAATATGCGCAACAAAAATGTTTTAATATAATGATACGTAATATACAAAGACCATATCATTATAGACAGACTATTTCAGAATACGTAGGAATTTATGTTCTCAGATTTTCATGACATTTTGAAAACGACTAATTATTGTCATATTAAACTTTTTATTGTGAAAGTTTTCAAATAATTTAATTTTTAATTGGATAAGAAGTTATCTTTGCCGTAATTTTTTAAATAAATGATATTATTTTTTTAATAATTTATAAATTTTTTATTATCGATAAGGGATTTTATTTGTTCTTATATTGTAATATTTGAAGTATATATAATTTGTAGCTAACTTTTGAATAGTTTTAGTTATATTTTTTACTTTTCCAATACTGTTAGAAAAATTATGTCAAATTTAACATAAATTGCAAACGGTCCACTCAAATTTTTTAGTTAATTTAACACAAGATGAATATGTTAAAAATATTATATAAGAGAATAAATACAAAAAAATGTCACAGTTTGGAAACAAACCAACATGTCTTTGTGAAACATATTAGGTGTTGGAATTAATTCGTAGCGTTTTACAAGTGATGGGAAGTACTTTCATTAATGTATTTTTTAATGCTCATGTGAAATAAATAACATTCTTTCATTAAAAAACGCTACGAATTAATTCCAACACCTAATATATTTTTCTGTTAATTAGAATTGAGATTTATAATATGCAAAATTTATCAACATTTTATTGATTTATCATAAAATTTACATTTTCAAACACTTTATATTTATGTTATTTGTTCACTTATTTATAAATTGTATTATTTTTTGGCACTAAGAAATGTCGAAAATCATTTTAACACATAATCTTTAAATAACATATTCGTATTATGTCAATTTAACACTCGAATATGTTAAAAAATTCAATAGAAACTATTAACATGAACATGAGTGGACGGTTTAACACAAATACACAATTTTTTACGGTGTAAAACGAGTTTATAATTGCATAAATTATTATAATTTATTAGATTTACTAAGATAGAAGCATAATTGAAAATTAACTAAGAAATGAGAATAAGAAATATAATATTGTAAAAATTTAAAAAAATTAAAATTTTTTATAATACATATGATAACAAAAATACTTCTATTTATTATTACCTTCTTGACAACAAATCACAGACCTTTATATTACAAATAATTATATGTCCGAGTTGAATGATACCATTACCGTAACGTAGTAAACGGATGTTTTCATAAACTTAAAAATATAATGTAATATTAAAATGTATATTTTTTATATATAATTTTATGTATGCAAAATTGAATAAAATATTTTTATATATTTTAGGCATTGTTAAAAAATAAATGGAAATTATTCAGATTAACGGACATCGAACCAACGATCTTGACCTTATCAAATGTTAAGGCCATAACCCTGTGTGACTTTCAAAAGATTTTAACTGATAATCATTGTACATTTAAAAGTTATTAACAAATTAAATTTAAAAAATTATGTCTTATTTCTGCTATACATACTTTATATACATATTGACGGGCATATGATATTTCCTTCCCTCTACTTTGGAGCGAATGAGCAGAAATAAGACATTATTTTTTAAAAACTTAATTTATTAATAACTTTTGAACGTATATTGAAAAATTCCATTACGTGGAAAATCGAACGCCTCTAAGCAAGAAGTGTATAAGGTAGTTTTCAATATTGCATATAGTAAACATAACTCAGAAATAGAAGATATTAAACTTTATTTGCTCAGAAATAGAAGATTTTTAAACTTTATTTGTTAATAACTTTTGGACGAACACATACTTGTGACTGACGTACATCTAAAATTTTTTAAAAATTATCCAGTATCATGACCTGATAATTATGTTAAGATCAAAGTCATCTGTTAATCTGAATAAAATTAAATAAATTATTTATACAAATTTGAGATTTACTTATTTTTGCAGCTAATATTTACTGTACTGAATTTTATCATACCGAGCTGTAACTTTCCAAACAGATTGCATATAATTTCGCCGCAGTTATGTGATACGGTTTTTGACACTTCATTATTAATAATAACAACATCTTTTTTGCTTCTAAAGACATTTGATACCATATTCCGTTATATCTAAAAATTTTATAATTTTCAAATTAGTCATCATTATTTAATAACTACAACAATAATCAATAATTTCAATAATAAATAATTAATTACATTAATAACTTACGCGGCAACAGAAATTTGAGAACTGTGATCTATTATTTGCTGTCCTAGCCAGCTAGTGAAAAAAAATCGAATAGATTGAATGACTACAAGCGGACCATTTCTTGCCAATTCCGTACAAGTCACAATCTGCAAAAATTCTATATTAGCGATTCGTTTTGAAACAATACGAGAATATTTTCTGTCGCAATATATAATAGTGGATTAATAGTTTAAATAGATATTAATTGTGTATTAAATATTTATAATAACCCTAACACATCCAGAACATTGAAGTAGAACTCCTAAGCCAACGTCACTGGAAAGACATATCGCGAACGTCGTCTCAATCAAGTAGATTAATCTATTGATAACAAATAGAGATAGGAAAATCATATTAATAATATTTTCTGAGAGAGAGAGATATATTTTAATTTTGCTCGATTTATAAGAACCTCTCTATTCTGATTTGTAGTTGTATACAATGCACCATGTTCTCAACATCTGTATCCTCTTTAGATGTAGGATTACGATTGAAACATTTTTTCGATTTATCGTATGCAGCCAAACGATAACTGTAAGTATATAATCATATACTACATAAGAGTAAAATTGTATTTTATTATAAATCGAGTAAGTAAATCAAAACAAAGTTAGAATACCTCAGTATAGCTAATGTACCACAGGTATGTTGCAGCAGGGCGAAATAGATGGTGTCGGTTGCGATTACTATCATACCGCATACCGCGTATCCTACGAACGTAATTGCCAAAAGAATGTAATAATACTTTTCCATATCCAAGAAGAATTCTGTCGGGTGCGGCATTCGCTTTGATCTTGTTACATTTGATATTAATATACTCTGAAGTAATGGCATGGTGAGTGGTGCTGTCACAAAACTGGCTATGCTTGTACTTGCAAAAACTGATAAAAGGAAACGCATAATTGCATAATTGCTTTGCATAATTGCTTAGAAAAACGATTAATGAGTATAATACTTATTGTTACACGGAAAAAACGACTACGGTTGCCACGATCAAAAGTCGTTCATTAATACATTTTTTAAAAGAATTATAATACAATTGTATTATATAACCGTATAAGATTGGCATATCTTGATGGTTATGGCTGTAAAGATAACTCCATCTTACAGTTACAACAATCAAATGTATTGATGGGCGAAAATTATTATTATTTTCGGTTGTGGCAATCGTAACATTTTTTTTTGTAAGTATACTTGAGTAGATTAGCGTGAATATTCGATTTCTCTCCATGTATTCCATTAAAATCCAAATATCATTGTATTTCACTGATAAGCACCAATCGTGACGAACATGCTGAAGGAGCATTCTAAACTGCAGTCATATCAATTTTTCTTAGAGGAAAAAAAGCATTCTACATTGCGACATACTTACTTTTTCAGTCTGCCAATGGAGACTAATTGTTTTGAAGAGACATAAACATGTGCCAACAAAAGTTAATAGAACATCGTAAAAGTCGTTCAAATTTTTCATGCGTTTGAACAAGAATGCAATCTATTAATAAATTATATTGAATCTAATATGAGATATATAACTTTTTATGTAACATTATAAAGTAATTCGAATAGCGCAAAAATCACTAACAATTTTAGAAAATTTATATATTGTATTAAATTCCAATATTAATTTTCTTACGATTTTTTTCTAACTTATGTATTAGAATTTATACCTGCGGCAGTAATAGAATTAATATACCAAACATTGTACAATAAAAAAATTTCTTTTTGTTAGATTGCATTGGCCACAAGCCAAGAAATGACAACAACAGCTTGTTAACTCGAAAATATCGGGTTTCAAAGACGTCCATTAGTTGATTCATTTTCAAGCGGAATTCTTGAATAGCTGAAGGTAAAACTTCCGTCAACCCTCTGTACGGTGTTCATTTGATATTCTCTTGGAGTGTCGATGCTTTCACAAAGAGAAATATACATATAATATGTTGAATTAAATAGAATAAATAATAAAGGGGAAACGCCTCCCACAAGTGGGCGACACGCAGAGTCCTACAATTTTAATTTCACATTGACATTGTATAAAGCATTGCATAAAGCAACACAGATGATAGCGTTTAATTCTAAATAATATATTCGCTTTTGTAAAACAGAGAAGACAGCAGTTATACTTCATATAGTCCGTCGCCACATACGTCAATTATTTTAGATATATATTTCTATACTATGAAATCAAAAATATTAACATTTCTAAAATGGTAAAAAGCAATAAGTTAATTTTGACAGCAAATAGTAAGTTGTAACAGTAATTCATTGTTTATTCAACAGAAATATGTCTTCTAGTTATATGTTTTCTACTTTTGTACATAATTATATTTAACATATAAATTATTATAGATAAGAAATTAATGAATTTATTAAGATAGAAGCTTAATTAGGAAAAAATTAACTAAAAATTAAGAATAAAGAACATAATGTAGAAGATTAAAATTTTTATGTGATAACACATATGAGACCAAAGTTTTCTTTATAATTATTGATGTAATATTTTAAAAAGATCTCGATGTCAATTACAAAAATATTGAACAAAAAAATGAGCATTTACATTTAAAATTTAAAATTAACCTTGAAAACTTCTCCATACTTATATTAAGATTAAATAAGTCTGTTTGATGCTTTGTTCAAATCCTATATGAATCACCTCTTATATGGAACATTTTTCTCAAATATGCTTTTTTATGAGATATTCGATTGTATCCATACTTTTGATCCAGTCTGTATATATTTGTATAATTACATACGATAAGATGTATTGGTTACTTATTCGCTTGAATAATCTGCTGTATCAGCTAGTAATATTACAATCTTCAATAGACTGAAGAAAGAATAAATTCGGAATATAATAATTATTAGTAAACTTATTATGTATAGATATCTACGCTAAACAATATATGTATAATGTCTATCCAATTTTTTAGTAAATTTTATTTTTTGTAATAATTGTTCTTTATGTTATTCAAATTTACAATATACTTAAATATATGTTGTTTCTTTTTATTAAAACTTTTCTAGTTCAGTTTTGAGGCCGGAGACAATATCATTATATTATACAATTTATTAATAACTTTTTAAAAAACTGTATAACTTGCACATTTGTTCCAAATGATTCTTTATTTAATGATTATATTTAAATAATAATTGTGACAATTATTATAAAATGACAATTTATGTTTATATTTATTATTTATTATATTATGATTTTATTTCATGTAAAAGAAGTGATTTATATCAATACAAATTGAACATTTTATTAATAAACTATTAATAAAAAGTTTTTAAGAGCTAACTGTTATGCGAAATATAAGTTTATTAATAATATTAAGCTAGTATATTAAAACGCTTTCGATCTACGATTATGGTTCTCTTCAGTAATAATCGTTAATTGTAATACTTCAATTAAAAAGACTAACTTAATGAGATTTACATTAAGATATACGCAATTTATAAATATTATTTGGCCGTTAAATATGTGTAATTGTTAGCTTAAGTTTAATGGACAATATATTTGATGGAAACTGAATGGATGTGATCTGGCAATTTAAGCTAACAATTACACGCATTTGATGACCAAATAATATTTGTAAATTGCGTATATTTAATATAAATCTCACTGAATTAGTTTTTTTAATTGATGTATTACAATTAACAATCATTACTGAAGAGGACACTAGCTGTGGGTCAAAAGCGTTTTAATATTAAAACTACTAGCTTAATATTAATAAACTTATGTTTTGCACAACAACTAGCGTCGGCTCTTAAAGACTTTTTATTAATAATTGATTTACTTCATTAGAGTCTATACAATTTTGAAATAATTTTTTATTAGTGCAAAGCAAAACGTTTAAATTTATGTATAATATTTAATATAGTTAATAAGATTTGGATAAATATACGAAAATAGTAATGATATTGATATCTCAATGGTAATTATGTATTGTATTTATAACTCCGTTATAAACTTTCAATTACAATACTTATTGTAGTGACGTAAGCATCGTGAAGTACGATAAGGATACTTTTAAGATCTGAAAATAATTACAATATTATATTTTAAATAATTATCGAAATAATGTTACGTTTGCACGTACCGAGCTAAAATTCTCCATCGACATTACGAACATATTACCAGCTATTAATTGACACGGCTTAGTACTACGCAGCAAAGTAAAGCTCAAGAGATGTTTCGATCTCCTCGAAATCTTATACCAATCGCAGCTATAACTGTTAATGCATTTTACACTTTAGTTGTTTATGTAATTTTAGTCTACAAAACGACATTGACTAATTGACTTAATTGTTTAAAACGAAAAATAAATATATAAAATTGAAATATAGATATGAAGTATTTTTCTGATTTTATATCCTTTTTTATTTAATATATTTTTTTATATTACTTAAATATTACTAACAAATGTAAATTAAATTGCGTACATTACATTTTGAAGTCCGCTGCTGTGATCGATCAATCTTTGAGAAATTAAACTTAGGAAATATATGTGTAATAATTGCGCTAAAGTAACAGCAAGAAGTCGGACAATTTCTTCCAGTTGATTGTCTACCATTAGTAACTTAAATTACGCAACTTTATTAAACGTTTTGAAATTAAAAAAACATCGTTTAAAACTTCCACATATATGGTTCAAATATTTACCTGAGCCGCGCCGAAGCTCAAGGATATAATTACATTGCCCAATAGAAAGAAAAATGATGTTGCATAATTAGATGAGAGCACATCAAAAAATCTACATGTAAAATAATGAAATAATGAAATAATTTAGTCTGTTTATCACGATTAATACATAAAGCTCAATTGAATAGATGTTAAGGATTAAGAGCAAAAGCTGATTGTTAGTTTGCTAATATTTAATAACTCTTACAAAATATATATTAAATAAAAATATATATTAAAACGATCACAATTAGATCATATTGTTATACTATACAATCGTGCAATGTTGTATAAATAATAAAGCATTCTAATTGACATTTGGTAAAATTTTCATATTTATTACAATATCATTTAAAAAGCCTAATTCGATTTGTTCTTATAATACAAGATCAAATTTCAAAAATTGTTAAAACAACGATCGAATATACAAGGTGTCCCTCAATTTTTTGCCAAATGTAAGTAGAGCAGACTAAACTGACAATGAATCGAAAAGTTTTCTACCATTTTACAATTTTCGCAATAGTTAACAAAATATTAATTACTAAAAATCACTAAATATTGGTTTTCAATAATTTTTTATTCAAATAAATACTGTCAACTTTATAGAAAAACTACAAGACACAAAAAATGTTTATTTTCTTCTATATAGAGCTCTAAGAATTTTTTTAAAAATTTTTTAATACCATATTTTTTCATATTGATAAAAATAGTTGCCAATATA